GCAGTGTGATCATGCTAGTGCTACACAAGTAGATATACAGTCGTCCCTCTCTAATCCGGCACTTTATAATCCAGCACCCTCGATAAACCAGCACAATTTTCAGTAGCCAAAATGTCCTCTTCATGCACATTGCAGCAGTAAATCAGATTTGTTAATCCAGCACCCTCCCTAATCCAGCAGATTTCCGTGGCACAAATGGTGCCGGATTATAGAGGGACCACTGTATTACTACTGTGTACAGTACATATGAGTACCTATGTACTTCCTCTGTTAAAGGGGAAGTTAAGGCAAAAATTAAAATTTCACCAGTTGTAGTCTTCGGGGTGCTGAGTCGAATGGTCTTGGTCCGAGGAAGCTGAGACGCTCCCTTCCTACTTGAATCCCAATCGAACTCGCGCACTTCCACCGAAACTGGGTGACTGCGCCCTACTAGATGGGGATTTGTATGCAAAATGTCACTAAAAGCGCCATTTCGTTCTTATAAAAGCACGGATGACCGCGATTGGCCCATATGTTGTAGTCTTTGGGACGCTGAGTCGACTGGTTTTGGTCCGAAAAGGCTGCGATGCAGCGTTCCTCCTTTATTCCCAATCGAACATGGTTGAAGAAGCGGTCACGTGGTCCTGGGTGCCCAAATCACCTGGTCACCACGCCAGCAGGTGACAACTTTCACACCAAGGTTCAACTCGGGTTCAACTCGAGTGACAGGACTGCACCCAAAAAAGGTCAAACAGGCTAGTAAGTTGTACCAAGATCAAAGCAAGAGTAGATAAACATTTATCTACTCTTGGTTGTACCCTGCAGGCACGGTGACCAGGTGACTGGCGTACGCAGGAGCACGTGACCGCTTGTTCAACCATGTTCGATTGGGAATAAAGGAGGAACGCTGCATCGCAGCCTTTTCGGACCAAAACCAGTCGACTCAGCGTCCCAAAGACTACAACATATGGGCCAATCGCGGTCATCCGTGCTTTTATAAGAACGAAATGGCGCTTTTAGTGACATTTTGCATACAAATCCCCATCTAGTAGGGCGCAGTCACCCAGTTTCGGTGGAAGTGCGCGAGTTCGATTGGGATTCAAGTAGGAAGGGAGCGTCTCAGCTTCCTCGGACCAAGACCATTCGACTCGGCACCCCGAAGACTACAACTGGTGAAATTTTATTTTTTGCCTTAACTTCCCCTTTAACAAAAACTTCATGATGGATTTTTGAGGGGCTGACTTGGGCAAAAACTGACGTGAAATGAGTCGCAATCACTTTCTTGGCCTTCCCTGGCATGCCATGAAAGAGGTACGATGCAAGGAAAGCGACCTTTCACAACAAGCCGAGCGAAATCGATAGTTGCGCTGTGGAAACATAGGTGATGACAGTCATGGCGAGCGAAACTGAAATAACACTTCTCCGAGGGGATATTGCGCTGCTTGGATTCTCTACCACTTGAGCACTAAGTAAGTTAGTTGGAGAGCAATAGAGAGCGACAACACGGAACAGTGAGCCCACACAATGAGCCAGTGAACAAGGAGCTAGCTGCTCCGATCGCATGGCTCAACGAAATTAATTCTGAACTCAAGTTCTTGTTCAACCTGCGCAAAGCCCAGATTCGAATGCGGATGACCATGCATTCTTTCAGAAGTCTGCAGTCCGATGCAAGTCTCATGGCTAAAGAAAGTCGACTGGACTTGCTAGCCGGTGCCGTTCAGTGCTGGCAGGGGTATCCATTAGCGAAAATGGAATCAGTTTGGCTGTACCCTTACTCCTCGTTTCGCGAAGTTCTGGAGAGCGAAGATAAAACCAGGGAGTCGTAAAATGTTTTTCACAACTCCCAGGTGGAAACGAGTGATAGCCATTGCGGCGGATCACGCAGCTTGAAAGCCAAGTTACTTGAACGATGGCGACATCAAGGTCAGCGGAGTGTGATCAAAGAAGCCGAGGCAAGGCTGAAACGAGCTGAACAACGACTCGAGAGAGATGACGACTCGCGTGCAGCAGATGACGGCTCGCATGAAGCAGATGACGACAGCGACGCACGTCAAAAATGAATCGAGCGAAAGCGACGCAAACTGAACTCTCTGCTCATTCCGCGAACAGTTTTTTCTTGTAACGACACTGTACATAGGCTGAATCACCTTCCTCCGGTGATTTGCAGTCGATACAAACTGTTCTTGACCTGTTCTAAGGGTTTTCATATCCATCAAAATCCATCACGAAGTTTTTGTTAACGGAGGAAGTAACAAGAGTACATAATACTTGCTATGTCTGATGTGACACTGAGTCTGTATATAAGAGCTGCAGTAAGTGGCCCAAGTCTTCAACTGCACAAGGACATTCACCACGCAAACCACTGATCATGCAAATACTACACCACAGAGTAACTATACACTGTATACAAACCAGCATTTGCTTCTGGGAAGAAGGAGTCACAAAAAAAACCACTGTGGCTCTCAAACTAACTAACTGCACATATGCTAACTGCACATATGCTAACTGCACATATGGACAGCTGCTACTGTCAAGTGTGAGTGGCAATGTCAGAAAGACAGAAAGCAGTTCAACAGTTCAATACTGTTGTTCACCTTCAGGGGATAAGTCAAGGACGCGGCGCGGTAGAGGAAGATGAGTACCGCTGGGTGCCATTCCACCACCACTTATCCCCTGCCAACTTCCACCAAACAAAACAGAAGAAACTACGCTGTTGGTTAAGATGCTGTTTGCGCCGCCAGGAGAGTTTGAAAGCCTTAGATCAGATACTACAAGTCTGCGTTGGTTTGCTATTCCGTATGTGGCAGTGAGTGTGCATTGCCTTTCCAACCGTCATAGACATTCGCAGCAGCACTGCCCATACCGTTAGTAGAGTGCATGTCCGAACCGGTCACATGCACAGCGAATAGCAGAGCTTGACTTGTGTGACGTCATCATTATGACGTAATGTGTTTTCTCAAGGCACCCTCTCGGTCTATCCAGTTACCATGGCTACGGCATTGAATAACATGACCGGGATAGTTTTCAACTTTCTAAGACGTGGGATAGCTGGTAGCGTGTGCAACTAACCGCCCACGATGTTAAAAGGACACATGTGCAAGGTTCGTTGAAGTGCAGCCTGGGTCCGCCTTGAAATCGTGCACTGTCCAGTTACCTTTCCAAGCCATCTATTTCTACGGTGTGTGTGTGTGTGTGTGTGTGTGTGTGTGTGTGTGTGTGTGCATGTGTTTGTGTGTGTGTGCATGTATTTGTTTGCGTGCGTGTGTGCGTGTACATGGCATATGTGCGTGAATGGTTCTACCCTGAAGAGATGGTACACCGTGCAATACCATTGCTCATGACCGAGCAAACCTACTCGCACACCGTCTATTTCTCTCTCTCTCTCTCTCTCTCTCTCTCTCTCTCTCTCTCTCTCTCTCTCTCTCTCTCTCTCTCTCTCTCTCTCTCTCTCTCGCTCTCTCTCTCTCTCTCGCTCTCTCTCGCTCTCTCTCGCTCTCTCTCGCTCTCTCTCGCTCTCTCTCTCTCTCTCTCTCTCTCTCGCTCTCTCTCGCTCTCCCTTTCTCTCTCTGTGGGTGTGTGAATGCAATCATTTCTCTACACCATGATTACAGCTTTGCGTAAGTTGATTTTCATTTATTGAATTTGCATCAACTCGTTCATTGTAATAACACTTGTCCAGTGACAACACATCCACGTACACACAGACCATCGCTAACTGCTGAAATGAAGTTTCTATTGCTGAACAAACAACATTTCTCTACCGCCAAAAAAAAGTAATTCAAACAGTGCTTCATTTGAAATTGTGAGCATAACTTGAAATCTGTGTACAGTCAACTTCGCTTATAACGACATTCGGCGGGGCATCAAAAAAGTGTCCTTATTCGCGAAGTGTCGTTATACCCGAAGTCTCATTATATCTGTCCCTCCAGGAACTTGCGATTCCGTGGCCGCGTTGTTTTCGCGATTTGAACAAAAGTCCGTGATATCCGCGATATTTGAAAAACCATCCGCGATTCTTGTAGAAAACTGTCCTTGATACTTGAAAAGCACCGCGATATTTCGAAAAGCAACCGCGATATTCGAGTCTTTCTTCGATGTTGTTTAGTTCTTGAAGCTCGTCAGTAGTTTACTTGTGAGATCGACGCCAGAATGGAGAAGTTTCTGGGCAAATCAGCGGCTGACAAGTCACAAAATAAGGCTCGCGTCGAGTGTTGTCCGAGGATGGAGGAAAGCTGTCTTGCAAGCTCCTGTCAGGCAGTTGAACAAAGTCAGCGCAGCACACGTTCTGTTTTGTCATGCATGATTTATGCTGCATGACTCGTACATCGTACACCACTACATGTATACAGTACAAGTACCAAAATCGGCCGCGATTTCCGCAATTTTACCACAATAATCCCGCAATATTTGACAAAATCGGCAATATTCCGCACAATTTGTGGCATTTTACCTCGCAACTTTTTCCGCGATATTTCCGAAATGTCTCCGCAAGTTTCTGGAGGGACAGTTATATGTATTACAGTTGGAAGGGACTTTGCTCTGGGCATGGAAATTCTGTCGTTATTGGCGAATTGTCGTTATATCCGCAGTCGTTATTAGCCAAGTTGACTGTACGTGAGTGCTGTTGTCAAGAATCCTTTCATATGGACCGTTATAAGGGTCGACCACAATTTTCTCTATATTTAACAAAACTGTGCAAACTATGTAGACTCCTGGAGACCCCTTGGGCTCCTCTCCCTCCACTCCCCCTAGCCATACATGTTTGGTGGAGTCAATGTGACACCAACCATGTACATAGCAGACTCAGCGGAGGACGTTCAGGTTGGTTGTAACACTGAGTTTCATGTCGCAAGGCAGTCATCAGACAACTGACCATGTACATGTATATACGTAAGTACGAAAACAGGAGGTTACTCTGTATGAGCAAGACACGTGGCGCGGTGCACGCTATGCCTCCCTTTCAACTTTCAAGCACATTTGGCTACACAACCGTTACATCATACCTACTACAACCAGCACCCCTTAATTTAAAAGTCTCTCACCCACACACAGGATAGCAAAAAAATATCATTTCTAGACATGACAGGAAACAAAAGAAGAAGCTAAACCAACAGATGCACCGCTAGCGACGCAGGCACAGCAAGCCAAATATAGAACTAGTACATGTAGAGTCGCAAGTCATGCACAGCAAGCCAAAATAATATGGAACCACATGTAGAGTCGCTAGTCATGCACAGCAAGCCAAATATGGAACTACATGTAGAGTCGCTAGTCATGCACAGCAAGCCAAATATGGAACTACATGTAGAGTCATGCAGAAATGAGAAGAAGCACACACGTACAGGAGACAAAACCGATGCATGTCGGCATGGGAAAGAAAAGGACGGGGGAAGAAAGAGAGCAGACCGGTCAGAATTGAAACAGGGCATACAAATATTTCGTGAGGCCGAGCATCGCAAAAAAAACCTCCCGGGGATAAGGAAAAGCAAAATTATATTAAAATTATGGGATAGTAGAATTAGGTAGGGTGAAAAACCGGGGCGGGGTAAAAATAGGGTGGAACGGGGTGGGGTGAAAACCGGGGGGGGGGGGGCATGATGGGGGTCCGAGGCGAATGGCACAAAAAAAGGTGGAACGGAAAAATGGGCTGCGAAACGAGGAACTGTAACAGCAATTCCAAGATGTTCTGAAAAATATTGGAAAGGAAAATGGGCGCAGGGAAACGCAGGGGGAAACAAAGCCTAATGAGAAGGCAAAATACCACGTGAAAAATTCCAAAAGAGGAGTAGCCAAGCCGAAAACGCACTGAGAAATTACACCAAAAAATTTAATGTGGATGTATCGGTGGCATCATATGCTGCAAGTGTGACATGCTGGGCAAGCTCACATGCAGAATTGCAGACACATACGACAACAAAGCCATGTGGTCAAAGTGTCACATGATCATAGTGTCACATAATCATAGTGTCACATGATCATAGTGTCACATGATCATAGTGTTACATAATCATAGTGTCACATGATCATAGTGTCACATGATCATAGTGTCATATGATCAAAGTGTCACATGATTGCCATGTCACATGATCATGGTATCACATGATCACAATGTCACATGACATCATTGTCAGGAGACATATGCAAGGGTACATAA